TTAGTTATCTTTACTTAGTTGTTATACTTACTCGGTTTTATTAAGTAACAGCTAATTTTAAGGCGAATAAAACAACTTTCTGCAATGAGTAACACTTACTTAAAATATTCAAGTAGCCACAAAGGAACCAATGATATTAATAAACCAGCGAGAGGCAGCAGTGTTGCTAATGTGCAACATAACAACAGAAGAAGAAGAAATGAAAACGAGTCTTAATAGACTTTGAGTCTTAATAGACCCATTTCCTCCATGTCTGCAGTTATCTTTCACTAGATGCATTCACTCGTTTCCCAAAGTAATCTTGAATGTTGAATTTTCAATACAACTGAAATATTTGAGAGTACATCACATAAGCTAACTTCATAAATTGATGTTGATTTTCCTAAAATATTTTTTTTTTACTCACCACTCATCACTTTTTTTTACTTTGGTTGGGCAACTTGGAACTTCATTTATGTTACTATAATTTTTTTTCTGTTAATGCAGCAATGCATCATGAAGTCAGAATTATTTGATTTCAAGCGAAGAAAAGTAATAAATAGGTTGGTTTAGAAGGTGACATATCTTCTAATAAAAGCATTAGTGTATTTGATTGTGTGTGTTTATTCATGAACTTTTTTAAATTTCATTTTCCATAAATACCTTGAGATGCTTTTAATTGAGTTTATATAATCCTTAAATAGTGTGTGGTAATATGCTAAAGTCACACACAGACTTAAATGTTCAGCACGTGAAACACAACAATGGTAACAATTTAATTTCATTTATTTTGATTAATTGTAACAATAACCATTTTATTTGCTTTTTCTGTTGTGCTACTACTGACACAAGACAGCAAATAAAATAGGCAAATAAAATCAACAACTGTAAAACAAAGCAACTGCATAATTTATTCATGCCGCATCGTGTAAGTAAACTATACTAACTAAGCATTTGTCAGTACAACATACTATTCCTATTTCACTTTACTTCGTTTTTTCAAGGCAATCGGTTTGCATGCTTTTTTTTTAAGTAAGCCCAACTAATTAGATTTTACAGTGTATACATAAATGAGAAAACCATAAATACAACACCCTTCAGTCTTGCTAAAATAGTCAATTTTTGCTGCATCATGAATAAAATCAGGAATCTGTTTTTGAGTGAAATAAGTATTAATAAATATATCTGTTAAGCATTTATAACATGTGAGTTTAAAATGGCTCACTATTTGGCAGGTATTGCATTAAAATCATCCTTTTATTCATGCATTTATAACGGCTTATCAATGATTTATAATGCATGAGTGTCTCTGCTGTCGCTGAAATGATGGGCTATCCTCCTGGAGGAGGTTAGTTTCCCTTTATAAAGGGAAACTTAATGTAAAGTGTTACCAATGTTTTATATTAAATAATGTTGTTATTGGTGTTTCAGTGGTTCCTCCACTGAACATGATCTTAAACTTCAAGACTTCACTGATGTGAGCTGGAGACACAATGGCAGTAAAACTATATGTGATAAAATTCCCAAGTAATTTACTGCAGAATGAGGTCTCATGATACAACAACAGAACAGAAACTTTCCCAGATGACTATGAGAGAGGAAACATTAAGGTGAACAATCCTGAATACATTTGTTTCATCAAACACTCATCTAAACTATTTTCTATTCCCTAACCCCTCGCCTAAACATCTGCCATTTTTTGAATTTCCAAAAACACAATTTTGTATGTTTTGTTAAGTCATTTGGTTTATGAGAATACTTCCTTTGTCCTCATAAACCAAATGGTTTAACAAAAATTTTTTTGCACTGGTTAACACAATGCAGGTGACTTGTTGGTATAAAAATTAGAACTTTCCATTGTTGAACAGGGAAATTTGAAAGGGAAATTCATGAACAATCCAGACTGTATGTGCTTGTTGTTTTCAGTTCTGTCTCGTTCAGTTCCTTTGCCTGTTACGAATGGGCTGTCATTTGTCATTTGTTTCTCACTAAACGCATGATCTGCCCACTCACCACCCATCTGACAACTAACCAGCACATTGAGAATATAACAGTGTCTTCACAACATTCATGCAGTTTGTCACAATGAAGATGAGAAAGGAACTATGAGGCACAGCCTAGGTATGAAACCAAATAAATAAATAAATAAAGCAGGTATCTATATTTATATTCTCTTCAGAATTCTGTTTGTTCAACTGCATCTGTCAGTGTTGTTAATATCAAACATAATTTGAAACGCATTTCATGGAAAATTCCGATTGTATTCAGTTGTTTCTCTCTCTTTCAGTTTCTCTGCAGCTCACATAGGAGGATTGCAAACTGGAAGCTCTGTGATCTGGTCCTGCTTATACAGTGACATTAAAGTCAAGATGTAGCAGTGTATTAAAGGCACAATGATGGCAGGAACATAAAAACCATCATTCAAAGAAAGTGATTAACTTCAGAATTCAGAATACAACATTTTCTCAGAGGAGTCAATGAAATGAAGCTTCATTATCATACTCATGTAAGTTACTTATTAAATTTACTCATTATTACTTTTATTACTGTTAATTTTTCTAAAATCAAAAAGCCAGGGTCTAACATGACATCACACATATAGCTATATAACACAACATAAGCCTATAGCTACCTGCTGAAAAGATATTTCTATAACTTAATGGACCCAGGGATTGATTATGCTGGTCAGAAGAGAAAAAGATGTGAAATTTGCTATAATTTCCTGAGCTGTTGTATTATAAACCACCACACAGCAGCTTTAACTATTTTCTGAAATGTAATTCCAAAGTAATATAACACAGTAGTGTTATAAATGTACATACATTCTTTAAAAAAAATAAAAAATAAATAAAAATCTTATTAAAAAGCAAGATTCATGATGTTATAACTGTGGAAACACATCATGACAGTCTGTGAAAAGGGTCCATTATTTTCCAGTGAAATTGGCACAATATGTTGTAGTCTAACCAATGAAAAAGTAAAATTAACAATTATTAATTAATTAATTTATTTATTTTAATAACTTACGTTATGACATAAAATTGATTGGAGAACTGATGGTACCCCCTTTTTTGTAGTATTACTAATGGTGAAGATTGAGTAGAAGATCAAGAGTCAGAGTATTTGTGAAAGCTTGTGAAAGTGAACTTCTGTCTCAGAAGTCTTGAATATACTAAAATATAGTAAATTTGAGTACGATTAACAAATACCTTGTGCGCATGTCTGAGCATTCACTTCTGTCGGAAGCAATCCGAGGACCGCATGTCATACTGTCATGAAAGTTTGACGATACTCTGTTGTTTGAAGTTGAATTTAATATTAATTTTCAGACATATTTATATGCAGTATATATAACACATATATTGGGCACCATGATTATCAGGTATGTTTCATGAATTCTGAATGAACACGTGCTCTCCGGTATAACTGAAGGCCTGATGTAGCCTAGTTTGTTGTTTGTGGTGGTCAAATGCTTTATTTATACTAGAATTAACAGAGAAATACTTTAATCATCATTAATACATTATTAATTTATCAATAATTCATACTTAACAGGTTTATCTGCAGGCAAATAGCTGCAGTTATTATTTTTTTGATTGAGTCATTAACAGCTAGCATTAGCATTTTGTATTACCATCTTTTGTGTATCAGAGCATATGCAGTTAGTTTTATTTGATATTAATTTGATTTGACTAGTCTTACATTGAGTTTAAGTTATTAATATTTTACCAGTAGGATAAGATGGGTCCCCTTATGAACATTTACTGCTAAATTGTGTATTTGCAGATGAGTTTAGCATGTACAGGATGATGATACAGCATTCAATATGTTATTAAGGCTAATTACTGGATATATGTGTTAATTTAGTTGTTAAATGGTTTATGGTCACATTTACATAATAATAATAATAATAATAACAATAACACACACACACACACACACACACACATATTAATATATATTGGCAGGTTTGTTATAATAGCAATAAACTATGTATTCTGATTGAATGATTCAACTCGGTTGGTCTATAGGTTATGATAAATAAAGAAAATGTTTACAGACCCTACTTACCTGGACTAACTTGTTCTCTGTTGTCGTTGGATCCTCCTGTGTGTTCATTAATGGTTCTCCTCATCGTTCCCTCTGTGTTGACTCCATTCCTGTGATCACCACCTTATTTGTGTTTGTCATCCACCATTCCTTTGAACTTCATTGATTCACCTGTTTATTCACTTCACTTCTTCACTTTTGCACTTAGCTGTCAAATAAACCCAGCATTTGAGCTCACCTTCTGATCTGCCCCGAGTCTGTGACAGAATAGCGGACCTCAACAATCAACTCAGTGGGGTTTTCACTTTCAAATCCCAAGGACTGTCTGTTACAAAATGTCTGCTCGTTGGAGGAGTATGTGGAGGAGTTTTTGGAACTGTATCACAAGTTACACTTGAATTATGAAGCTCTCAAATACTCCTTCTGGAGCTGGATGGATGACATCCTTCGCCAGATGCTGCTTATGAATAAGGGTCATCGGCCACTGTTGGAAATGAGTGATAAAATACATTTATAGACAAGTGTTATCCAGTGACAAAGCGTGTGATCATGAAACAACATTTTTTTAAGAGCATTTCCCTTTATTAATAAACATATTGAGAAGGTGGGAGAACATTTTACCTCATTTATGTTACATGTGAATCAAACTCATGTTGACATTACTAGTATCATAATCTACTGCATTTTACCACTTGTTTCTGCAGTTGCTGCTTCATCCGTGTATTTTTTGTGCTGATAAACAAAGGTGAGCACCTAAACAAACTGCATTTGAGAGTTAAATTAATGCTGCATGTATAAATGTCAGACTGTGTTTACAATTAAAGTGTGATTTCACTGTGTCTGCAGGTCACAGTAGAGGCAGGCTGTTATTGGCAGTTCTGTTGTCCTTCCGTGTTCTTCCAAAGATTATAATAAACTTCAAGACAGTGATGTGCTATTGATATAGTATAATCAAGGGTAAAGATTCAGAATTGGGACAGGACCCACGCTACAAGAACAGAGTCGAAACTTTCCCAAAGGTGTATAAGAGAGGAAACTTCTCCATCAAACTCAACAATCTTCAACACACTGATGCAAGGAAAACATCAACGGTGTGTAAACTGGTTGGTTGAATAATGTATACTGATTTTAATTAAAAACGTTTAATTAATTCTGAATACAATGAGTATTTTACCAACTATAATATTCCAGTCTGAGTGCTGCTGTATATAAATTAATGACAGATCTGTTGTCTTTATCACAGTGCAGTGATTTTGTTTGTTCTTTACTGTTTTGTTGCAGAATCAACAGCAGAAAAAGAAAACTAATCCACTGAACAAGAAAGCCAAGGAGAAGAAACCAGACCAGACAGTGTGGGGACTCCATCCCCTTTGCTTCATAGGACAAGATATGCTATTATCATTGCCTTTGTATTACTTATAATTGCCTGTTTTATCATGCATATTTTGAGAAAAAGAATTCAAGCTGCCTCATTTTCTTCAGTCATGACTGAAGAACAAGCAACAGTGATATAAATGACAAATAGGTCCAAAAGTTACTTTTCACTTTCTGTAACATTTCTGATTATTGTCTACTAGCTGAATTGTTACATCTTTCTTTGGTCCTTTCTTTTGGTGCGGTTACATTCTTGCTGAATTAATTGCATTGTTCTTATTTTATAACAGAATGAGACTGAAAGATAAAAAAAAAAACATGCTTTTGCTGTAGCTAAAAGACAAACGAGCCTGTCAGTATGTTCCTGCCTTAATTCTGTATCACAAGTGTTCTTTGGTCAGTGTTTGCCAATATTAAATGTATTTTGTATTCTTTATGTATTGTTTCATGTTTATGTTTAAATTATAACCACACATTATTTATCAAATGTTATCCATTAATTCCTGATAGCATATCATTTGAATTATGTCTGTGCACAAAACAAAACTTATAAAAATGTGCACAAACATCACATCACTTTTTATTGTAGAATAAAATGTGAAGTCTCTTCAGGTGTCTTCATTTATTTTATTAACAAATCGTGAACTTCCATTCTAAAATCTTAGACAAAGTTTCACAGGGAATGGTTTAAAATACAACTTAAACGAGAACCTAGCCCTAAAATCAGAGGAAAAGGATAAGTTGATCAGAAGTCCTTAACTCATGCCTAACCCTAAACCCAACCTTGAAATCTGATTGATTGATAGGGATGTTGTTCCAGGACCAACAAGGATGTTGATCTAGGAAACATGTCCTACTTGGCAAAGTCACATTCACCTCTATGTACAAAATCCTCAGGGAAAGTCGCAGATGTGCTCTTAGCCAACTTGTATGTCAAACATACAGTTTGCACCACGAGCACCTTTTTTTTCTGTCATGTTTGCCAGTCATGTTTGCAAAAGTGTCTAAACATCCCTAAAACAAGATCAATTTAAGAAAGAAGCAAAGATATTAAGTCCTGTTTTCAAAATGTATACTATTTGAAGTCATTAGCAAATAGTTCCAAGCATAAACAACAAAATATAGTAAGGGTTGTGCTCAAAACTAGAACAATAAACAAGGCTAATGAATTTTGACATTTCTGTCATAACAATTGCAACCATTTCTACTGCTCTACTAGCCTCTTTCTGACTTGTTTGTATAGGTCTTTGTCTCTCTGTTGTGTGGCACCCTCTACTGGACAAAATCTAAACCAACTCTTTGAGATTTACAGTGACCCCCCAAAAATATTTGGACTCTTGAGCCAAACTTAAACATTTCTTTGCATTATATAACAAATGATCAAACAAAATGAAATTTATCTTAAAGAAAGTGGTTCTGTAAATTCACTTAAGTGAACTTATCCTTTTGTTTGCCAGTAGCAGCATCATTCAGTCTAACCTATACAAATGTATAAAGAAAAATGCCAAGACCCAAAAACAAGCCCAACATGTCCCTTCCCATTTCTCGAATGTTCAAATCTGCATAAAAGCAAGTAGTGACATCAGATTCTGTCTTTTAGATGATCAACCTCTTCTTTCTTCTCTTGATCCTGATTTTTCTGATTCTGCCAATTCTTTCTCATGGACTCGATCCTTGAGCCCTCAAAGAGCTGCGCCATGAAGGCCAGGCCTTCACGTTTAATATATGACTTTCCAGCAAAAGTGTAGAGAACAGGGTTTATGCAGCTGCTGATGAAGGTGATAATGGAGCTGAAGCCTCTGAATGATAGCCAGATTTCATCTAGTCTGTGAGGAAGAGGATAAATTAGTCGCTTAACTTTTGTAGATACTAAATTATTTACTTCATACACACAATGAAAGAACTCAGAATATTATTTATCTCAGTGTGTGTTCAGCTAAGTTCACCTGGCTTTTGCATGGGAATCTTCTGGGAGAAAAGTCCCAGCAATCTGTGCAGGAAAGTCATAATCAACACTCTTAGATATGATAATCCCATTTTAAGGGATCTATGGTGAATACCCATAAAGACACATTTATAATTTGTAAAATAAAAATTTTTTTTTTTTAAATATATATATGTGCAAAACATTATCATGAAAATATTCATGTTAAGTTCAACCAGAAAAGATAAATTTCATGATTTCCCACTATCTTCTGTTTCATTTGAGTTGCACACACACCTCCACCATATTCATGATGTGGAAAGGAAGCCAGGTCAAGCCGAAGGTGATGACGATCACCAGGATGAGTTTCTCACTTCGGATGTGCCTACGAAATCTTGTCTTGCGAATTCTGCGCAGGATACACATGTAACTGCTAATGATCAGCCCATACGGCATCAAGAAACCCAGCACAATTTCCAAACAGTGCTGCAGTATCATCTAAAACAGAGTGAAGAGCCTGCAAATAATTAATAAACATCATTTCATCTCATATGTAAGTTAATTTTGAGATCATTTTCAGATTAATACAATGATTGATTTAGACTTCTCCATAAGTATGTTAACATGCCCTAATTTTTGCCAATCAGAATGAATCCAATCTGATTTCAGTTTCTGAACGTTCTATTTTTATGAACCTTAAAGCATACAGCCCGATTCACATATTTATGTGCATTACATGAAACTTCAGCACATGCATAGTGCCCAGTCAACACGTTCAGAACTGGACAGTACGATAATAGAGCTACCGTGAGTTTTTGCCTTGATATCTAAAAAGAAAGCTGACATATAAATCTCAGATGAGCCTTTAGTTAATATTTAGTAAATATTCCGTATTGTCAACTGACAAGTTGCTAAAAATTTTTCCTGTTGATTTTAGGTCTACACCAACCTTTTCATTCCAACTGAAATTTCATTCAGATTGAGGTGTTTTTGCATGAAGCCCTTTTTAGTCCGACTGAGCCATCAATCCGATTATTAATGGATTATTTGCATAGTAATAACTGAAAGAGCGAGACATTCTTATAGATTGTGTTTGATCACGGACCCTTTTCACACAAGTTTATTGAAGTGGAATGCATTATAGACAGATAAACCACAATGCCCTTGCTTCCACCAGATTTCTACTATATTAGGCCAATGTGTGTCTATTGCTGGAGCAGACATTAACATTGTGTCATTAACTATGATTTTTGTCTTTAGACTAGCAAAAGACAGTTTACCCTTGTGTCTGTACCCTTCTATGACAACTTCCACTCTGAAACACAGAAGCTAAAATAGGACCATTGCATCAGAAACCTCAGTTGTGAGGCTACATGTGCAATTCAGTTGTAAAAATGCTTAAAGGGGTCATATGATGCTTTTTTAAAGATCATTATTTTGTGTATTTGGTGTATCAGAATATGTTGACATGCTTTAATGTTCAAAAAACACATTCTTTTTCAAATACTGTACATTATTGTAGGTCCTATGTGCCCCGCCTCTCTCAAACGCTTCGTTTTCTACAAAGTCCCTCCTTCCGACAAGCGCAGTCTGCTCTGATTGGCCAGCTGACCCAGTGCATTGTGATTGGCCGAACACCACAAGCATGCGTCGGAAATGTAACGCCCCTTACCATAATCGCGAGCTTCATCTTTCAAAATAAATGTAAAGACAGAGCCCGAAAGGGGAACAGTCACGTGACAGACACAGTGATGAAGCTGGTATGTGTTTGCATTACACAAGCCACGGTTAAGACGGTTGTGACCCTGTCTCTCTCTCACACACACGCGCGCGCACACACACACACACACACACATGATGCGCAAAACTCCGCATTTGAACAGT